AGTGTAATTTTTTCTGGTACAAATAGTCCTCTATTTGCATTTTCCAGAATCCAAAATCTTTGCCATTGAACTTGTCAATCTTAACCTTTCCTTCTTCCGATGCCATTTTTCATAAAAACAATTTATGTGAATAGTGCTTGTGAATAGTAACGATGATCAATAGTGTCGCACTATTCTTGTGAATAGTACCTGCACCAATACTGTACTTTTCTACTAGAATTACACTGTCTTTGCTCTGATACCAGTTGTAGAGGAAGCGTGTCAAGATAATAGAAGGAAAAGGATATTTAGGAGAGAAACAATAAATTGCACAAAACAAGATTTACGTGGTTCGGCAATTTTTGCCTACTCCACGGCCACACAAAGAATAGCTCTTTATTAATTGAAGAGAGAAAGAAGAAGTTTTGGGATGTTCTACAAATGAAAATGTAGACCCCTATTTATAAGCATTTGAATGCCCTGCCGAGGTAAGCGCTTACATCATAAGAATGCCGATGTAAGCGCTTACATCATAAGAAGGCTGAGGTAAGCGCTTACATCACAAGAATGTCGATGTAAGCGCTTATATCATATTTTCATCTCTTTTTGATTTTTCTTTCTTTTGTTTTGTCTACTTTCACATACAACAATAGGTTTGGTCCTATCACATACAACAAACAAATAGACAAGGAAATTAATAAATAATGCTCTCGTCACATGCATACAACAAACAAATAATGCTGGTTGTAATTGATGCACCAGAAGTTAAATATTTGTGGAATATTAGTAATTTAATGCTGAGCAAGAGGAAACAAGGGTGAAGAAAAAAGGATGTGTGAAGCCATCTGATTTATACCTCAACTGCTCTTCTTCTTAATTTGATTCCCTTGCGCGCAGTTTAAGTTCATAACAGTTTAATTCTTTTGTCTCAACTTCTGAGAGTGATGGCTTTAGACGAAGATTTGTCTAAAATGAAAGATGAGATCCTTACAATACTGCCAGATGTCGATTGCGATGTTACAAAGGATCGATTGAACTTCTTTGTGTGGGAGTTAAATTTTCTGGATAGTTTTCTCTGTTTGCGGAGTTTTGCCTTCGCAGGTGAATGCGGCATGCTACATGTCATTCAGAAATACAAGAAATTTGGAAGAGGTTGCATGCTATTATCGACGGCCCAGATCCAGAAGCCTACACTAAGGAGTTCCTTACTACATCCTGAAAGGATGAGTTCATTGATTCAAATACTGATCCCTTTACCTTTCATGTCCCAACAGAAGTTTGGAAGATTAAGCTGGAATTCAGAGCTAAATACTCCTTTCCGAAAATATCATCGATATCACTTCCAGCCAACAAGGATGATGATATTCCTACCCCCAAATTTGTGATGGAATTCATCGATGATGTTCTAAAGATTCTTGGTGATCTAGTGAAAATTGATGATCCATGTTCGCTACTTTATGTTGGCAGACTTAAGGAACAAATTGAAGATGTTTTTAAGGAGTTGAAGTTACTGAGACTCTTTATCTGCTTTGTTTCTAACAAATGCATAGAGCCACAAAGCCAACATTCTTTCTTCACTCACGCTTTAATTGAGGCTGTTCATACAGCAATGGTTGCATGGTTGAATTTGCCAATTCATGGAAATGAAACTCAAGACTTGTCTCCTAGTGAGGTGAATGTTTTGTTTTCTGATCTCCTGAAAATGAAGATTAAGCCCATTCAGCCAGGCATTCACAAAATATATATTGATGTCCTGCTAGCTTTGAAGTCGACAATACAACCTGCAGGATTGCATCCCAATATTCAAAATAAGCTTGTGGCTGACTGTGGCATTGTGGAGAATCCCACACACAATTTGATGGAGATTGTTCCGGAAGCAAAATGTATATAGTGTGAATAAGTCACAACTACTATACCAAAAATTATGACAGCCACCAAATAATAAATAAGTCAATAAAGCAATAACAAAGGGAACACCAGAATTTACGAGGTTCGGCTAATTTTGCCTACTCCTCGGACACAACCAATATTTTATTCCACTCCAAAAATACAAGTGAAATAATACTAAAGAGAGAAGATACAAATGCCTTAAACAGATGAGAAGGCAAATGAGAGGTGTGTTTAAATCCTAAATATTAGGCCTTCTTTTATAGGGGGGAAATCCCCCCAGACTCAAGAGCCCACCGATGTGGGACAAAGAATTTGCCAAACTTCAACAAATCTCCACCTTGGCAAAATTCCACATCTTCAATTTTCTCTCAATAACAAATTT